GAAATCTGATTTTGAAAAATAGATCCTGAAAAGTAGAGAATTAGGTAATTTGCACTTTTTATTTTCCAACTAACATAGAATCGAAATTTCTTTTTACCTTTACCTATCAAACGAACCATAATAGTTTAAAAAAAAAAAAAAGTTTAACTTGAGAAAGACAGAAATGTTCTTTTTGTTTTATAATATTTTCAATGTGTGCTTCAATTAAACAATAAATTTGCTAAAATGACATTTAACTACGGTTACAAAACCATACCCATTTATTAAGCTAATAGAAGGTTTCAAATTATTTATAATTGATTACAACTTTTTTGAAGTTATTAATACTTGTTGATGATTATAACCGACTTGAAATTCTAGATCAGTTTTAAGGAATTTTAAGGTGTTAATAGTTGGAATTTAGTAAAGAAGAGCTCGTTATTGCAAAGAATTTGCTCTGTAACCTATTACAAAGAATTCGTTCAAATAAGCCCTTTTTCTTACGCTTTTGTTCTCTTATATAGGCCTTAAAAAAGGAGTTTGTCGCTCTAAATCTTGTCAAGCTATAGTATCCATGGTTGAGATGTGTTTATCGCCCAATTTGAATAGATTTCATTGGTTGGGGAGTTCAATTAAGGCAAACCATCATGACATCTAGTCGTAGTCTGTGACCTAGGTCATCACTGTCTGAAACCTAAGCAATTATTAAATTTCTCTGGTTGGTGAACATAGTGGTGTTGAAGTCAGGGATAACACTTTTCTATATCTGACTGGTTGCAAGGGTGATTCTGACGTCATTATGGAACATTGCTCTAGTTTACTCACGATGATATCTCCAAATCACGGTCGCATTGGTCATTCTGATGAGGCATGCCTTGTGGAACGACCTCAAAAGTTAGACTTTTTTTTTATACAAAAAAGCAGATCGAAGAAAGCACTTTGAAGGAATCAAATTTGGTGAAAATGAAATGCGACGGTTTGTTAGTTCATGGTATTGTAGCCAACAATCCAACGTCTCTCCACCATGGGTAATACCTCCCAGATGAATCCTTCTTTTCCAACTTCTGAATCATAGTTATTTGCCAATAACATTGCAAATGAAAAGTTATACTGGTCCTGAAAGTTTTTCAACCGTATGCCTCCTGGATGGAGGAACTGGGAAAAAAACATATTAGGAAAACACAGTAAAATTCACAAATATCATAAATATTATCACTTGAAAAAAAAAAAAAAAAATTGTAAGGTGGTTTGATTCATTCAGAAATCGGTAATCACAAAAAAAAGAATAAAAAAAAACCGAATTAACAATTTTATTAAGGAAAAAATAATGACAAATAACACAATATATTACATATTGCCTACTGAATTCCAATGATCTCAATCTCAACCATCAAGAAATAGAGTGATTTCAGCCTTCGAATATGAAAAAAATACATTCAAACAACATCACGCACACATCGAAATACATGTATAATGCAAAATGCATTAAACAGGGCAATTAATAAGTCATTTTATCTAATCACCCATATATAAATAGCGTTTGTAGGCTCGTAAAAAAATCTAAAATAAGTCATAAACTCTAATACAAATGATTAGACTCGGACTTCAAGAAATATTTATTATATATGAAATCTGTACGAATACTCTAAAAAAGCTAAAAATACACGCGAACTCAAAAATAAGCTAAAAATTACTCATAAGGGAGAAACCTCTACCATTTGTTAAAGGGTTTTTTGAGATTATTTACTTTCAGGAATGTTTCATTTTTAAAAGATATTATGTTATCCTCTTCTAGGTAATTAATTTTAAGTTGTTCTTGGACCTTCTTCACTATTAATACTTTGATTATGAGATCTCATCTTCTTGATAATCATTTCTTTAAAAGAATATTACCTATATTTTCTAAATCTTGAGTTCGACAAGTTTACTAGAAAGGGATACTTCTTCA